CCTGTGGTTACCAGCCTTCAAGTGTTATTACAAGTTGCTTAATATTCACATCCAACAGCTCCACTCACTGGCATACCAAATACCAGGGATTCCACTATTTTGTCCAGAGCAAATGATTAGAATAACACTGAGCGATGTAGAGCAAACTCAGCTGACCCATTGGTGTGTGTAATGTAGAGCGTGCTGAGGGAGACATGAGTTTCTGGGACAAAAACTCAAGCACACTAATCATATTAAAGAACACTGACCCATCAGTCGCCTTAGCCCCTGAACCTAATTATCCTGGCTGCTGTTTCAAAATTCCCCAAATCATGGATTGTCCCAATGAATATTTGACAAAGTTTAAGAACTACCACAAATGAATATAATTAGCAACGGAAAGGCATTCAAGTATTTGGGGATAACTTATAAAGTCACACCTGCCCTTTTACAAATGCACAGCAAACATCTACTTACATGGTATCTAAAGGTTAATATACAAAGGAAAAATACCACAAAGGAAATGTACCACAAGGATTAACAAAACAGCAGTTGGCTGATCTTGCACCTCCACAAAAATCCACCAACTTGTTAACTTTGTTTTATATAAATTAATTACATCACATACATACTGAAATATGGAAAAGCACTTGTGGAACTATAAAATAGCTTACAAGCAGAATAAACATACATATGTTTAGGCATGATTTTGCAAGATTTCCTACTACTCAGCTGTACAATGCCGTTTTTAAAACAAGCTCCCTGATGGGTGGTGGAAGCTGTGTTTGTTCCTTAGCTCCTAACTGCCTGGTGGTGCAGCAGCTGGCCTGCCCCTGCGCCCACAGTCCCCCACCTGCACTCGCTCACAACAAACACATGCGCTGGGACCTGAGGATGTTTCTGCATGGGGAGAGACTCTGATCGGCAGGATCACATCCACTGTCACATCCTGAAAGCGTGGCAGCACTTCCTGGAGGTGCAGGACACTCCACAGCAGGGAGGGGAGCAGACCCAGGGCAAGGCAGCACCCCAGAATGGGCGTTACCACTGGGTGGCCTGTGGCTTCACCCCCACCCGCCCTGGGGGTCCGCTGACACCGCCGGTGGGGGCGCGGTGGATAACCCTGGCCAGGGCACGGGGCCGCGCTCGTGTCCTTGTCCCGCTTGGGCGGGTCGTACCCTTCGGTCGCCGTGACCGCGGGGAGCCCTGAAAATACACCTGCGATGAAGAAATACTGCCAGCCGGGACTCGGGAGCCCGTCTCGGCCGGGCCTGGGAGGCCTCGGGTCGCCTGGTGCAGGGCCTGGGCAGCGCCGGGCCCGTGAAGCTCTGGGCGTGCAGAGCTGTGCCCGCCTTGGCCGGGAAGGCAGAGCTCGTCCCCTCTGCCCCGAGCTGCCGCCAAGGCAGGCAGGGTGGCCCTCCCTTCCCAGCCCCCGTGGGCCAGGAGGGTCTGACCCCGGGAGGTGTCAGAGCTCCATTCTGGGTGCTCCCCGGTGTGACCCTGTGGAGCTGAGGGGACGTGAGTGTAAAGGATCATTACCCAGAGAAACCCACATGGTCTTCCCAAACCTTTGCATCTTGGCAGTACTCAAGTTTCCAAAAACTGAGGCGTTAAATACAAGCCTAAAAAATTGCCTTAATGTTTCCCTCTGTGAACTATGGCATGCTGTACCTACAAGGAGGGCAGGCAGTAGTGCTGTGCATCCCCTTGAGCATGCAGAACCAGCGGGCGTTGTGCTCCTCAGCCACGGTGAGTAGGAGCCGTCTCTCCTGGGAGTGCAGGTGATCTTCCCAGTCATCACTCGCATGGCCTGCACTGCCCAGTGCTGGCCTGGAGCCTCTGGAAGCTCGTGGGATGCCCGTGCAGCCTCTTATGGGGGTGCAGAAGGGCTCACGGTCACATACCATGATGTGGTATGTGCTGCATCACAGTGTGGGTTCTGCCAGCACCTTTTGCCTTTTTCCTGGCTACAAGTGATACAGGGCATGTAACTGACACACTTGCACATGTAACTAACAGCCATTGGTCGAATGTGTGTATATATGTTGTTTCCTAGTTTGCTGAACTTGAAATGAATGGAGAGAGCTTTGGTAGCACTAGGCACTGTTTCTTGTCCATTGGGTTTATTGTCATCATCAGAAGAGTTTAGCAGTTGCAGAATAACTGGGATATGATGTACTGGAGTGTGTCTAGCAAAGGCCTGATGATTACGAGACTGGAGCATCCGTTATATGAAGAGAGGCCGCGAGTGCTGGCACGGTTCAGCTGGGAGGAAAGGAGGCTCCGGGGGATCTCATCAGTGTTGGTAAATACTTGACGGAGGGAATAAAGGAGATGGAGCCAGGCCCTTCTCAGTGGTGCCCCGTGATGGGACCAGTGGCAGTGGGCACACATGGAAACACGGCAGGTTCTATTTGCTTGTAAGAAAATAGAACTGTGAAGGTGGTTAAATGCTGACACAGGTTGCTCATAGAGGTTGTGTAGTCTCCATCCTTGGGGATACTGAAACCTCGGCAAGACATGATTCTGGGCATTCTCCTCTGGCTGACCCTGCTTGAACAGGTGTTGGGCTGTTCCCACTAGCTTCAGCTCTTTTATGCGTTTGGCTTGTGTTGTCTGAACAGGAAGTAGCATGTTCACATTATAAATGGATGCTCTTCATTACTGCAGTGAGCGTGGACTGTTCTATGCACCGTCATAGGATTAAGGAAAGGATCCAGGGTGCAGACTGACAGCAGGAGGTGTATCGGCCTAGTAACATGTTACGTTTTCCAGGTCCCCATATTTCTGCCAGTACCTCCTGGGGCCAGGAAGGGAGGTCTGGGAACATGTTGTTCTCCTTCAGCACAAGGTGGTGGTTGCTCTGAAGCCCTGGCAGTGATCAGAGTGTGCTGTGCATCCATAACTGAATGAGAAAAGGATCTTGCATGAATTTTCAGCTGAGTTGTACCAAGACATGTACTGCGTTAGCAAACAAGTTAGGTAACGAGTAGTGCTCTGATAAAAGTTTGGCTAGGAGGAATGGAAACCAAAATGGAGAGAGGCAGGACTGTCTCATAGCCAGCAGCTGCCTGCCAGTTTGAAAATGGAGCCTGCCTGTGAAACTCCTCTCCACCCCAGAAGGGGTTAGGGGAGGTGGGAGGTAGGTTGAGGGGGAGGTTCCAGTATGGTGTAGTGTGATAGTTTTAAGCCTTGCCGGGACTGGAGACCATGTTGCCATTGTCCCTCCCCCACCCTCGGACACAAGTAGGGCACAAACCCTGGGTTAAAATAAGAAGAAATTTAATGCAACAGTGTAATAAACAATCTGAACAACAACAAACAGTAATAACAGTAAACAAGACAAAAGATATACAGAGAGATACCGCGATGGATACAGACAGCCCGCCGCGTGCTGCCCGCGACCAAAGCCACAGAGAAAATCTTCCCGCGCTGCCTCTGGACCTGACATCAGCATGGTATGAATAACCCCGCTGGAGATCCCCCTGCTGGGGAAACTTAACCCTATCCTAGCTGAACCAGGACATGTAGTCTGTGGGCTGACCCTTCTGCTTTTTAAACTTAAAATACCTCATTTATTTTCTTAAAAACTTGTACCATTTTCCAGTTTTGTGTGGTGATCCTTCTCAGGGTCATGCCATCACTCTGAGTCTTTGGCACCTGGAAGCCATCTCTGCTTTCCTGCCATTAGCACTCTCCAGAGTGTACACACTGCTTCATGAGACTTTTCTTCTTCTCTTGCCTTTCTGTCTCACTGTGCAGTGACAGTATTTCTGGTGTGTTGACCCCTCTCTCTGTGGCCTGCAGCACAGCAGCAGTTAAAGGCTGGAAAAATGACACATGCTCCTCCTCCTCAGTGCTGATCTCCAGTTTTCCTGCCATAGCAGAACTTTGTTCTTCCCGTGTTCCACCTTTACACTAGAAGAATTTTTTAAGTATCTCCCTGCATTACAGGCCCTGCATGCTGGCTTTTGAATGGCTCAGAAACATCAAAAGCCAAGGTTAGTAACTGCTAGTTCACTGCATTAGGCTAAAATTTATACTTGGGAATTGTCCCCAGGTGATATAGAAGGCTCAGGAAAATGCTGGGCTAACAAGGAAGACTTTTGCAGTGTTTCCTTTTTCAAGGATGATGGCTGGTGCAGAACCAGATGGAGATGCTAGCTGCATGGCAGGCCCTGAGGTGTGTGCTAAGACAGGGTGCCGTCCCCTCTGGGCCCAAATTTTGCCCTGTGGCACTTCCAGTGGGTTACTGCAACCATCTCTACGTCCTGGGAAATATGAAAGGTCTTGCACTCTTGTGGCCTTCAGCAGAGACTCTGCAAGATGATGCTGGGAAATTTGTCTTGTGTAATTGAGTAATATTAAAAAATGTAATAAAGTGGTAAAATTTTAACCCAGAATGTGCTTCCTAATGTGTTTTCTTTGTGAATCTGTGCTATGTATGCCAGCTATGCAGTGTGCACGTGTTTGGGTTTTGTTTGTTTTCTAAATGTGAGTAGGATTATTTGTTTGATGGTGTTTTCCAAATTGAAGTAAAGGATTACTTTTTTTCATGTCAGTGGTTACAAGCAGACTGGGTAAGGAAAGAACTTTGGCACCTCCTAGGAGGGTAGAAGCAATGGTATTAAAAAACTTTAGCTCCCCTTTCCTGCTGTATTATATGTAGTACCTTGTATGCTGCTGGTGGTTAATTATCCTCAGTGTCAGTGGGATCTCAGAACCAACCCAGAAAGACATCCTGCTGACTAGACATTGATCAGTGTGAGTCACAAGCCCTTCTGGAGAGGTTGCAGCATGCTGTCCTGACAGCTCTTCGCAGTGGTTGTCTTCAGTAGGTGCTTGGTAACGTGCCTGGCAGAGATGCTGTCTGCTGTTGATCCTAGGAGCAGATGTCCCCAGATAGAGGCAAGGTGAAGGCCCTGCTCATGGAGTGCCCTCTCCATGCAGCTTCACTGGTCTGTCTCCTAAACGTCAGCTGTACCCACCGCTGCCAGGCTGGTAGCTCTCTGTGGAAAAGCTGTGCACAGCCTCCGTGAGCCTGCGCAGAGGGAGCAGGGTGGGGATGGGTGACTCCAGGCAAGGTTTTTCCTGCTGTTGGAAAGACAGGCATGTAGCTTTGTATCAGCACTTGAGAGACATCCCCAGAGCAGCCTCCAGACCCGCGCTGGTGTGCAGGCTCCCTTCTGCTCCCTGCAGGATTGCGTACACAAGCCTCCATGCAGAGACTTGCTGTGGCACAGGGCTGTTCCTCCACCAAACAGGATTAGTTGCTGTGATCTTGTGGCATTTTTAAGAAAGTCCATCCAGGCCCCAGTGGTTCAGTGTAAAGTGAATGATTGGGAGGTGACCGGGGCAGTGAGCCTTGCAGAGCTGTGCTGGATGCAGGCTGGCAACAGTGTGCATCTCTCACACATATCTCCCCATCTGCAGTACCACAGCGGTTGATGTTGTCTCCAGGGGCACTTCCTGACACCGGTACACCTGGGAGGGCTGTTGGTGTGAGGTGCCAGTGGAGCCAGGCAGACAGACAGTGCTGCTGCTGCGGCAGTGGGAGCACAGATGGAGGGTGAGGGGACAGGTACCCCAGGGATGGGCAGTGCATCCAACCGAGAGGGGCAGGTGAGTGTCTGCGTGACATGGGTGGCTTTTGAAATACATCTTTTGGATATGGGGAAGAGGAGGAGTATGTAACAGCAACTTTAACAAGAACTGTGCTTTATCTTCAGAGCTCCTCTCCAACTGCTGCTGAAAATGGCTTGGATCCTATTGAGGAGCCTCTTCTCAGAAAAAATCCCCGCCGCTTCGTCATCTTCCCCATCCAGTATCCAGACATATGGAAAATGTATAAACAGGCTCAGGCCTCCTTTTGGACAGCAGAAGAGGTGAGCCCAGGGGCCAGTGGGTTGGCACGAGGCACTCAGAGTGAGGTCCTGGTGCTTCCTTCCTAGCTCTGCTGTTGGCTTCTCTGTTGTGAGGGTTGGAGCTAATTGCATCAAATGTGACATGCCTGCACCAGAACAGGGCTTCCTTCATGGACAGTGGAAAGCAAGCTGCTTGGGAGAAATTCAGCAGAGCTGGTTTAGGTGTTTGGTTTAAGATAACATGGAATTGTATCCTAGGCTGCTTCTCTGGTTATAGAGGGAGCCTAAGTCAGATAGCTCTGATTTGTGGTCACATAGCTCCTACGCTGCTGTGATCTCTGTACCTGCAACTAACTCCTTGCCCGTGTAAGATGTTCTGGGTAATTTCATGTGAATGCTGTTCTCTAATGTTAGGCACCTGTTTTCCAGAAGGATTGTGATAATCAGGGATGCTTGCTAAAAATGCTTCTAATCAACTACTAATTGCCCTGATTAGATGCTTGGCCTATGTTATAATGCAAGCTGTAAGTACTTCCCCGAGGTTGCTGGTTACACAGACCTGAGCAGACCTCAGCTTGCTATGCTTGAAGCAGTGGAGGCTTCTGAACACTGCACTGACCTGGAGAGATTACCTGCCAACTGAGCTGTTTGTTCCAAATCGAAGCTTCTGTGGCATTTCCTTGTTTGTGAACAGTGATCTACAATTGCAGAGGAGTGAGCTGAAGGCACTGGCAAGCTCTAAATAGGCCAGAAAGCATCCTGGGATGGTGGGGAGCAGCTGTTTGTAGAAGTGCTGTTCTGTTGCCTGCCTGGGAGGCTTACTGCTCTGCTACAGTGGAAGTTGATTTAAGCTGTTAAAGAAAAGGCAATTAAACACCTGCCTGATCAGCTTTGCTCTTTTACCATATTATTGCTTCCTTCTTACACTGTCCTACCATCTGTGGGTGCATTTCCAAATGAACTGGAAAGTTAACTGTAAAAGAGATTTGTGTGTATATGTGTTTATATACACACCTATATGCGTACATGTTTATACACACATGTATACAAGTTTTTAAACCTCTGTATTTTTCACATCTGGCCCTACTTAACTGCTGTTGTGGTTCAGAAATCTCTCCCAACAAACAAACAAACAGAACAGGACTATGCAAATGAAGTTGTGGTTTTCTGCCGTGGCTAGAGTTCAGTCTGGTGGATGAGAGCAGCTACACAGCATTTGCCCTGTGCTATTCTGTGGTGGGATGGAGGCTGAACACCTGCCAAAGACAAAAGTCCCCTCAGTCCATCTTTCAACACACCTGGATATAGGTTTCTTGGGAGTATCAGCATTTATTTCAACTAGAGTTCAAGTGTCTCAGACTGAGCTCTGCTTGTTGGTGCATGTTCATACTCATGATAAGAAGATACTAATACTCTTCAAAATCTGATTTATTTATAATTCAGTAGACATTGATTTTTATTTCAGATTACAAAAGTGTAAAATGCAAAGCAGACGTGATGTTACTGTTGCAGAGGGAGACAGCAGTACTGCAGTGTGTCGTTTTTTACAGTCACATGTATTTAAATTCTCTACATGTAAAGATTTGAGAGCAAATGCCAAAACTCTGCCTCAGTCATTTGACTGGGTTGCTTCTGTTCTTACAGACTGACAAACTCATAAAGGGCAATAACGTTTTTCTTTTTTCTTTTCATTAGGTTGATTTGTCAAAGGACCTTCCTCATTGGAACAAGCTGAAAGCAGATGAAAAACACTTTATCTCTCATATTTTGGCATTTTTTGCAGCCAGCGATGGAATTGTAAATGAAAACCTGGTGAGAAAACTTACTGAGGGCTTGAATACTTACTAATTTTATTGGCTTACTGGCTTTTTGTTTTGGTTTTCTCACATTAATGCATAAGTTTATTAAATGTGTACATTTTTTTCTTTCCATCATCTCATCTTTGCCAAGGGAAATAAGCAGCTCATTCTGCTGGGGCCAGTGTCTGAGTTTGAAACTGGGTCAGCAAGACTCCAAATCACGGACACAGTTTTTAAGCTCAGCCTTATGCCTGGCTGTGTTGATCACATTTCTCACGGAATTAGTAGAACCCCACGCTTCTTTCTATACTTCTGTTGGATGAGAAGTAGGGAGGGATTGTGCTGTGCCATGCTCTGTGTTATCCAGTTTGCTCTCACTGAATGGCGTCTTAGAATCTTTTAGGGCTACAGATGGGTGCTGCTAAAAAGGTGGGGAAGTTCTGCTGCAATCAGTTCTGAGCTGCAGAATGTCTCACCACAGGTTATCAGTGGTATCTCACTGCAAATGCCAAGTTTAGATCTTGAATATCCGTAACGTGTAGAGTGTATCAGAGTGTATGTGCATATATTGCATGAATGTGTCTTATGCTGTTCGATGAACAAAGTCTGTGGCTTTGTTCAATATGAAGTGTTTACTATTGCAGTATTTTGCTGTTCTCCTCCTGTGTACATGTGCTCTCATGCTTAACTGCAGCTCTACCCAATATGCACCTCAGATGTATTTACTTCTAGCTAGCTTGCTTTATTTTCTTCCACACCACACTGATCCTATTGACGTATTTGTGAATAAAGTAGGGCTGAACTGCTCCTGTCTGTGGTAGAGATCTATTGTCTCTCCTGTTAAGCTTAGAGTACTGTCATGTGGGCCTGGTTTTACTGTACTCATTGCTGTGCTTTCTGGTTTTGGTAGGTGGCGCGTTTTAGTCAGGAGGTGCAGATCCCAGAAGCTCGTTGTTTCTATGGCTTTCAGATTCTTATTGAGAACATTCACTCAGAGATGTACAGCTTGCTCATAGACACTTACATCAAAGATCCTGAGAAAAGGTAAACCTCTGGATGTGTTACAGACCCATGGACAATCTGTCACCTAGTCCAGTGGCACTGTTGTTGGGCAGCAACGGCAGCAGCTGTCTTCTGTTTCATACTTACTGGGGGAGCTGGGGACAGCCCCTTAAAGTGTTCAAGGCCTGCATGCCTGACCCCTGAAATGAAGAGAAGATTACTGACCCACAGACTTATGTGAGAATGTCAGAAGGTTAGTTAATATTTGTGTAAATCTTTGATTGCAGGAAGTATGGACTATGTGAAATGTTGTTAAAGGTCAGACACGCTCCTTGTGGTTATTGTATTGTGCTTCTGAGGCGCTTGCTCTCACATCAGCAAAGGATCTGCCTCGGAAAATGGAGTGCTTGTGATCCAACATACGCTAGTCAGTGTATTGCATCCTGCCAGCTTTTTTGTTGTCAGTGCTTTCTCATGCAACTTGAACTGCTTATTTTTGAAGTATTGGGTTCTTTGGAGAGCCCCATCACTTTTGTTGTCTAGAGAACTTCCTAGTCCAAATGGTAATACATTTGAAAAGAAATACTTTCCCTTAGAGAGACCACCATGGTGATGGTCAGGCAGAGCTTGATTTCCCATGGTGGCATCCTGTGTGGTGTCCATGGGAGGACTACAAGGTTTCCTTTCAGGTGTTTAGCATGGGAACAGAGCCTGTACTCATGGGAATTGTCCAGTTCCTTTTGTGGAGTTGGGCAAGACACAGTTTAGCTCTGAGGGTAGAAAGTGGCTTTAAGTCTGAGAGGCAGCGTGATCTGGTGGGTGGGTGTTGGGATTCTAGAGGGCTTTCTATGAGAGAATGGACATGTGAGCAATCCTGCGTGAGAACAAGACTGATAAGAGCCTCAGCCTGAGCAAGAATGTGATAAGGATGTGACCCTGAATGAGGGGGGAGAAACTCGAGGAGACAAACAACCCCCGGAAGGGGTTGGGATGGAAGAGGAAGTTCCGCAAGGCAGGAAGCCTGGCAAGGCTGATGTGGCACTTTTTATCCAGTCATAAGAAGGTTTAAAGTGCGGGCTAAGTTAACTGTCCAGTCTTGAGGACTTGTGCTGCATGTTACTCACGTGTGCAGGAGAACATTATAAAAGGGCTTTCTTAGTTGTAATAAACGGGCATTGCTTGATCACATTGGTCGTGTGCGTGCTCAGCTCTCGCGCAGGTGGGCACTCCTGGGATGGGATGTTTGAGTTTGCTTACCATCTCTGCAGCTCACCTCCTCTGAGACCTTGAGTTCGTCACTTTTTGCACATCTGCCTCCCTGTACCCTTGTTATCAGAGATCATCAGCCCTTTGGGTTGGGAATGGTCTCTTACTTGGGTTAGTTCAGAGCCTAGCATAATGGGTTCCTCTACTGGAGCCAGTAGGGATAACCAGGGCAGATTTACATAAATTACTTCTTACTTTGATGTTTTCATTTTGTTTTCTTCTGTAGGGATTTCTTATTTAATGCTATTGAAACAATGCCTTGTGTCAAGAAGAAAGCAGACTGGGCTCTGAAGTGGATTGATGACAGAGAATCCACTTTTGGTGTGTACCTTCTTAAAAAATTGTTTCTGTTGCATATGTTACAAACTAATCCTCTGGGAGTGAGCTGCATCCCTGAAATGTGAAATTGAGTTGTCCACAGACGATGTAGTGTCTTGTGGGTCTCTGGTTTAACTAAAGAACCAGAAGTAACTTCTGGTGAGAATGTATGTTTTTATCTTCAGCTAAAGTAATATAGTAATGACAGTGCCCACTGGAATCATGTTATGAAAAATGCTTCTGGGTTTCTCTTGTCTTTTTGTTTTTGTAGTGAATAACCCTAGTTTCTTCAGTTTTTGCTTGTTGACTTTGTTTTCTAGGAGTTCTGATTATTTCTTCCAGTTGGCTGCTATTTTGTACTCCAGTGTTCAGAACTGGGCAGCTGAAGTCTCGCAAACGCAGGCTTTTTCTGTGTTCATGTTCATATGGACAAATACATGCGTCATGTTAGACTTTTTTTGTAACAGCATGACTGATCCTGGGCAAAAAAAAAGATTCAAGAATCATCTGCCTCTGTTTTCTGGTTTTCTGTTGGGACTAGGTTTCTAGTTCTTGTATCTCAGTTCAGAGCTGGGACACTGGCTTGTCTTCCATCAGCAAGGTGCGGGGCATCCTTTCCAGTGTTCTGCGTTCAGCTTACAATATTGACTCTGAAGGATATGTAGCAGCTGAAAAGAATAGTGGTCAGACTTTGTTGGATTTTCTAAACCATACATTCTCTATACTTACAGAAAATGTAGGAGATGGAGAGATTCAGCCAGATGAACAAAATAAATCTGAATAATTGTTCTTTTACAGCATCTGTTGTTCACAGCTCTTGTTTGAGTGGGGCTCTTTTTGTAGCTGTAGATTCTCCTGTCATGGAATGTCCCACTGCCTCTCCAGTCTGGCTTTGCTTGCTGCTTGTGGAGTCCCTTCTTCATCTCCTTCATTTGGCTCCCAGCAGTGTGGGGTGTGCCAGGAATCAGAATGTTTCCTAACTGAAAAAGCATTGTTACTTCCACCTCATCACCAACTTCATGCATCCTAACCAAATTTTTCTAAAGTACATTTCTACTCTTCTTTTTTTAAATCTTACTGAGAAAACTTCACAAGTTTAAAACATTTGGGGGGCCTGGGTCTCACAGTTGTGGATTATGAGATATGGTATATGAAAGTGGCTGGCTGGCTTGTTTGCTTGTTGTTTCCTTCCAGCTGGGGGACCTGGCCTGCAACTGGATCTCTGGAGCTTTGGTTGATTTCTTACACTGAGGGTCCAACTGCTGTATCTGTTCGGTGGACTCTCAGCCTCTCAGTGTACCCACACATTATGTGGTGCTGCTGGTGGACAGTTTTTGTTTCAACATAACTCATTTGTATGATAGCTAGTCGGGTGGAATGTGGTAAAAACCATATCAATATTCAGTCTTGTGCTTCATTAAACCTATACTGTATGAGCAGCCTTCCTCCACTCCTCTCTAGTGGTAACCTAGGAGATCTTTGTGTTGCCAGACAAATTCTTTCCTTAGTAACTTCTGTGATACTTGTAAGTTCGTGTTGCTCTTCATGCTTTTTTCCTGACTTGAATTTCTTCAGATGAGCCAGCAGATGGCATTTGCACCTTGTAGAGGAAGTGGGACTGTTTTGGTGTTATTTTTAAACAAAAATTCTATGCACTACTCACTGGGAGAAGGCACCAGCACTTAATGAAAAAGCTCTTCATCTTAGAATATACCCAAGGATCTTGTGAGGCTGTTTAAAATAGAGTACGTGGAATGATGTGTCTTCACCAAGCAGTCAGATGGTCTTGTAGTCTGAAGAAATACATTCCTGTAGGGAACGGGGAGAATTGGGACCAATAATGCTGTGCTTTCCTTGGGTAAAAGGTGGGATCACATAAATAGTTACTTCTGTCTTGATGAATTATGTTCTGTGTTCTCCTACTCTTCTAGGAATATGGTTTTATGTAGATTCTCAACAAGCAGAAATTGAGGTGTAGGGTTTTTTGTTTAATTTATAGGAGATTGACTCTTCTCTCAGTTTTGTCTATTAGTTACACAGCCATTTTCCTGCCTCTTAGGAGAAAGAGATAAAGGAGTACTAATGTCTTGGCCACTTTGGACAATTATGTTCTTTCCCTTCTGACCTGTGGCAGTTTCAGTGGGTGCCCTGGTTCTTCAGTTCTGCTGGGATTGCCTGTGGTTAATTGCTGTTGTGTGTGCAGACCTTGGGATCTGCTGAAAGATGTGGTCAGATACAGCACCTGCTGCTGCGAAGGGGATCGCTCCTCTCCAGCACTGGTCTGTCTGAGGCAAGTGTTGCATCTCGCTGACGAGCAATACACTGTTTTGTGTCTAACTGAAAATGTGTTCTGTTAAACAGGTGAGAGAGTGGTTGCCTTTGCTGCAGTTGAAGGCATCTTCTTTTCGGGTTCCTTTGCTGCTATATTTTGGCTGAAGAAGAGGGGCCTGATGCCTGGACTGACTTTCTCCAATGAACTTATTAGCAGAGATGAGGTAATGTGTCACGCCCTGCGTGCTGTCTGGGAAGGAAAGTGAGTTTCCTGGGTAAGGGCAGAATTATATTAGTAAAAATCCCATAGCCTTGTCACAGTGGCCCGCGTCTGGTGGAAGGGAGGGTTGGAGGGGAGATGAAGAGAGCAGAAAGGAGTGTTTGGGTAGAAACCAGTGAAAAAGAGAATCCAGCAGCGAATAGGGGATGTATTCCTGGTTACGACGGAGCCTTTTCAATGTCAACACTGATGGAGGCCAAGGAGGTGGTAGAAGCCTGAGTAGGTTCTCTGCTAGCCAGTGTCTGCAACAGGGTTTTCCAGGGAAGGTGCACTGTCCTGGTAGGACAGAGGTCCTGGTTACCTGCCAGGTAACTGCAGGCCATGCTCCCTAGAGCTTCTCCTGCAGTAACCCTTCTGTGTCTGCTTTAACATCACCCCCTAGGCAGCACAGAGAGGAGACTTCTTTTCCCCAGAACAGTGCCCAACAGTGCCCATCAGCCTGTTTCTACAGCCTGATGGAGGAGCTGTAACTGCTGATATGTAGGAAGATTGGAGTCCTTCAAAGGAGCAGGCTACTTGTAAAAAGGGGAAAGAAGGAGACTTCTAGCTCTAAGTTACTAATGAAGTTAAGCCTAAGTGCTGCTGTGTCACTCAGCAGAAATACCTGTTCTTGAAGTAAACATAAATATTAGTGATACCCCAATGCATAATACGATCAAAAAGGTGGACTTTTTGGATTGAAGAGGATATTTGTTTTCATGTGCCATGAAGGGAGGCAAAGGCCTGGCTGCCCAAGGACTGGTGTGGAGTTGCATGGTCCCCAACTGCAATGGAGGCTGGCTTGGGCAAGGACATAGTTAGGGTGTGACTCTGAGCCTTGCTCTGCCTTAACTGCTTCAGTCAGGTTCAAGTGGCCTCTTTGTACAACTCCCCATCTGCCCCTAGTTGGGGGTCCTAGAGCTTGCAGATGGCCTTCTGCATGTGTCACCTGGCCAACTGTGGCAGGTTGCTGCAGGGACAGCAGGTATTGTTCCTTTCCATGTTCTTGCATTACTGTGCAGTGGTGGGATCTCCAAGGAGGGGGCAGCTACAGGTCTGCATTAGAGGGGAGTGCTGCTTAGCCTAAGATGTGATGTGTCTGAGGGGCTGCATGTCAGCACACCGAGTGTGACAGGCCACGTGCTGACAAGTGCCCTTTGTTTTCACTGCTTCCTGCACCACTGCCTGCCAGTTGGCAGCACTTGCTTACTTACAGTTGGGGCCTGTCTTTAAGGCACAGCACAACTTACAGCACTGTCAGCACTGAAAAAGCGGAAGGACCAGTTTTATATGCAGTATGAACATGATAGTGGTTTGAATTTACCAGAGTTGATCTAAAAGAATAAAGAGCTTTATCATAATGGAAGTAATTTCCATGGATTAGATAAACTGATTTGAAAGGAGGCATCTTACTAGATGCCTTTAATTTAAAAGCCAGTTTTGAAGAAAGTGATATGATCAGTAAGCAAAACCAAACAGTTCTTCAGCCTTCACCTTTCTGGTGTCTTCTGTTTCTGTGAGTCATCATGAACTGATCTGTTTGAGTGAGGAAGTGTTTGTCTGTTAGAAGGATTACTTTTGCACGTGAATGAGATGTAAGTTCCTCTACAGCAGTGTAACCATACTTCTCTGCAGAGTCAAGCATCAAAAGATTGAATTTTTCTTGAGCTCCACTGGCATAATTCCAACTGCAGAGTTGTTATGAAGGGTAAGGCTTGGTGCATACAGCACCTGCATCAGAAACATCAAAAAACAGGAAATGCTGTTACAAAATCAGTGGCAGTAAAAAGAATCCACAACGGAAAACTACACAAACTCTTTTCTGATGCATCTGAACAGATAAGTGGTTAATGCTCAGTATGTTTTCTGAGCTGCAGGCTCTGTTTCCAGGCTGTTCTTTGAGCTGGTGCATCCCTGGTTCTTTAAGGTGCAAAGCTGCTGGGAGCACCAGTCAGTGGAGCACACTGTTTCAGGTGAGAAGCCAGGCACGTCCTGCATCCTGCTGGTGATGTTCCTTGGACAAGACCACGGGAAGCCCAGCAGCAAGCAGCTAATGCTCTCCCTAGTTGAGGAGTATTTCCCAAATGATGTTGTTTCAGGGCTATTTCATGACTTGAAGCACAATGGTTTTGTAGCCTTTCCAAAAATGTTTTCACTTATTGGTTTTGTTTTGACCCGTGTTAACAATAGCACTGGATTGTCTCATAGCCCGTAGTCTGCCAAATCCTTCTGACTGATTTTCATTCTGCATGTGCCCTCACGGTGCTTATAGGCTGTACTCACCACCTTGCTGTTGAGAGGAGAGACGGTAGCACAGTGCTGCTTTATTCTGTCAGTGATGGGTATGCCTGAAGCCAGAGGCTCAAGCTGTAGCCAGACAAGCTCAAATAGAAACTGAGGCACCTCTTGGAGCAGCTGTCTTGTACTCCCCTCAGACTGTGAGGGATTGCTTGTCTCCTGATGTTGTGTTATCCTGGCTGAAGGCTTTTCTGGAAATCTTGGGAATGAACACAATTTACTGAGCTCTGTGCAAAATGGCTGGGTGAAATGTGAAGGTGAGTTGAGATGGGACACAGTAGCCTTTGACTGTTAGTATTACAAACTAGTAATAGTATTACAAACCTATGACTGTTGTGGTAGCAAATTCCTCGCAGTAACTGCTTGTTGCATGGAGGGATGACTTGTTAATCTTGGATTTGGTGACTCTGAATCTTCCTTTCTGAAAATGCTGTGAGGAGAAGCAAGGAATAAATGCTACTAAAAGAACTTAAAACAAGTATTCCTGTACAGGTATCTCAAAGTGGAGAGCAGGTAGACAGTCGGTGTTAACTGGCAGGTAGTTTTGCAGGACTTGATATAGGAGTCTTTCTGCAGAAGCATCTCTGATTGGAGGCCATGACCCAGCAGGGCACTGTGTAGGATCCCTCACAGTAGAGCAGCTCTCAGAAATATTTACCTGAGAAACATGTGTTCTGAGCATTATTTGGGCATAGGTGGTATGTGTTGGATTTCAGATGTTACTAACTGGCTTGTAAACTACAAGTGGTAACATTAAGACTGTCAAAGAAGTAGGAGTCTAGGAAGCTTCAACCTGAATGAGGCTGCCTCAGTATAAGAGCAAACTGTGTGGAGGAGGGAAAAGCTGTCTGTCTTTTTTTTTTTTTTTTTTCATTGCTCTCTGTTATTTCAGGGTCTACACTGTGATTTTGCTTGTCTAATGTTCCATTATTTAGTGAACAGACCGTCAGAAGAGCGGGTCTGTGAGATCATCGTTAATGCTGTTGAAATTGAGCAGGTAAGCCTGTCTGTGACAGCACTGTGGGCAGTGCAGGACTAGTCTTATGTGCAAAAATAAACAAATAACTTCTAAATTTGGGGATTTTATGTTTGATACTTGGCTCAAGCCTGGATCTCTGATGCATTGTACCATCTTTTCCCTCTTTCCTAATGGGTCAGAGGGTTTCTGATTCAGTTGTCGAGCAACTGGGAGAAGCTGAAGCTGGCAGCTGGTTTCTTCCTTAATGGCAGAAAGAAAGAAAGAAAGGCTGTCTGATTTGGTGTAGAATAGAACAGTTCCAGTTGGAAGGGACCTACAACAATCATCTAGTCCAACTGCAACTGTCTCTTAGAGAAGAGTTTGTTTACCTCTGTCCTTCCAGGATCTTTGTCTCTCCCTGCTGTATGCCTAATTGTCCTCAGGAGAAGACAGTGTTTCTTTTGATCATGTGTACTGTGCTGGGTTCTGACTTTTTCTGAGGTTGCTGTCATGTTTTTTCACAAGAAGTGCTACCTGTCTGCAGCTACAAGTTTCTGCACTGCTGAGTGTTTGTAGTTTACTTTCTTTTTTTCTGTTTTCATCTTACTACCATGATGATGACAAATGCCCCAGCTTTGCCTTACAACACTGACAGGTATTGCATCGGTGCCTAAACATGTACTTGGCTGGGTTCAGCACTCGCATATATCACCGTCCTCTCTGATCTGTCATTCTGTAATGTCTGGAAGCCAAGGAAAACTGAAGATTTCTGGGTGTATTCCTGCTCCCACCTAGTATGGTCTGTAGGTTTTATTGAACTTGGAGCTCAAGCTTACACTGAAGCCTGCAATCTTATGAGGTTGTGGGGCGGGGTGAATGCAGGTGAGAGGGGCAGTAATAAAAATTTATGTGCTTTTTCCAGAAAAATATGCTAAAAATAAAGGAAGATACAAACAACTACTGAAAACAGAAGATACTTGTTGAGTTTAGTGATGCAATTTTTTATTCAGACATCTGGCTGGGTAGCCTGGAATATCAGAAGTTGTGACACAATGAAACACAGATGTCTTCTCTCCTTTTCTCTTAAATTTCATTTCCCTGAATATTGTCTGTATTTTAACTTCTAGGAGTTTCTAACAGAGGCGTTACCTGTAGGTCTGATTGGAATGAATTGCACTTTGATGAAGCAATACATCGAATTTGTTGCAGACCGGTTACTAATGGAGCTCGGGTTCTCAAAGGTAAGAGATTCAATTGCCTGAAATGCTGGCCTGGCAGGACAGCCCAGGAAAGCTGTCACACAAAGCGCTCTCTCAGTGTGCCCGGGGAGCAGGTCATATTTAGCACTTGCACTTTCTGTGAGCGACAGCCAAAACCACAGCATTAATATATATGCCTCACTGTTTAAAAGAGCAACAACAATTCAGGCCATTGTTTCCCTTCAGCTGCTCTGCAGGTCTGTAATGGGAAATTTATGCTGTGTTGAAGTGCTGCAGTCCTCGAAGGATAATAAGCACCTCGCATGGATGAATTTCACAATGGACCAAACTCCTGGCAAGTCACAGCACTGAATTTGCTTACATAGGTGTCCATAGATTCTACAGCATATTACAGATGATCTAGCTTGAAAGGGGTTTGACTGTTTTGTTTGGTTTTTAATTTTTTTTTTTTTTAAGGCTTTGTTGCCCTATCAGAATCACCAGTGTAATAGTGTTTCTTTTCCTCAGGTCTTTCATGCAGAAAATCCTTTTGATTTCATGGAGAATATTTCTCTGGAAGGAAAAACAAATTTCTTTGAGAAGCGAGTTTCAGAATATCAACGTTTTGCTGTTATGGCAGAAACCATGGACAATGTCTTCACTTTGGATGCAGATTTTTGATAACTTGGCAAATGAATGGTGTCTGTCTTCCCCACCCCATCTCACTTTCTGCTGTGAAGTTGTCTTCACTTCCTCTCCTGGAATTGGGAGTCTGCTGGGATTTTTTTCTTGAGTTTTCATGTTGCTTGTCTGAGGAGTAAATCTATTTCTCTGTCATTTAAAAAAAAAAGAGGGATCCTTTTTAAAAAATTTCTACAGCTTTTTAAAAGGATAACCTTTTTAAGATTCCCTTGACTCATCTGCTGTGATTGCTGTCTTTAAAAATTACCTGGGTACTACTACTTTTTAAAGATTTTGGTAGTGTTTTAAGAAAGCAAACTGCGCCTTTACCTCATTTTACAGTATTTTAATCTGAAAACCAGATGAGGTATCACTCTGTGTATATATGTTGCTATAAATTATTTTCATGTTTTCTGTTTTCATGTTTATAGACTTGTCTAGAGTAAAAGCTCTTCCATTTTGTTCTGCTGCAGATAGAGTAATTAGTGAATGTGGGAAGACATTAATAAGGTATGAACTATAAAATCTTATTAAACCCAGAGGGATACAGTTTGATCTCCCCATTAACCTGGGTTCTATCTTAAAACATTTTTACTCTGTTTGCGAATCTGATGACTGTTGGTAGGAGTTTAAATCAAATACTGATGATTTTTGTCTTACAGCTGTTATTGAACAGATCAATTGACTGAATGGTCCTTGAAAAGGCAAGCCTGTTAATAGTGGAGGAAAACCACATCTTGTAGTTCTTTGGCTTGTGCTGCCTGTTTTTCCCTGCTTCTCTGAACAAGTGCCTTATTAAGCAGGCTGTAGTTGCACTGAGTTGTAAGCGGCATCTGACACTGGAACAGCCAGCTCTGGGAGTTGTCTGTCTTCCTTCTGTGATGCTGGATGGTTTGATATTCTCCCCTTCTCAGTTTCACTTTTGCATTAGTGGAGCGAGAAGGCTTATCATTCCAAGGTATTATCCCTTGAGGTGCTACAAACATACTACTTGGGCTGTAAGGAAGCACCAATGATGTATGAAGGTACTTCAAGTTGTGTGTTTAATGTGAAGCATTGTTGTCACAGAAGAGCTGCTGGAGGAAGGTGTTAAACTGTTCAAAACCAAATCTTAAAGTAGTATGGATTAGCAGCACTTATAAAGGATTGCTGTTTGGTTTTTGGTCTGTTCCAGTGTGTGCCTGAAAACTTTTTAAAATTTCTTGATGTCAGATGCAGAGAATGGAGCGATTGAAGAATAGTTAACATACTGTGGTGGTACTTGGAATGGAAGGGATACTATTCAGTCATAGGTGGATTATTTGCAAATAGATGTGCTCATTTTTTTCAAAGGTGAAGTGAATGTACATGAGCTAGGCAAAGGGCTCTGCTTTACTAAACCCAAGCATTTTTCATAATGTTCAGAGATTTGTTTAAGAGCTTATGTAAGTATTTCTTATTGTTGCAGATATCTTGTGCTGCTTTTGATATGCGTGGCATGAGATGAGCTGACAGCCCTGGGGTTATTGGTGATGGGGTGGTATAAGTGTTATTTCCTGGCTAGCCCAGATCAGCCTTGACCCTGGGTGCTTGAGTTCTGTGAAATAGGTCTGCTGCCTTAGTGTAGTTCCTAGTGAACTGTTGTAAAAATAACTCCCTGGTGTAAAAATAAGCAGCAAAACTGACTCTCTTTGTTCGGTTTCAGTAAAAGATCAGGAGTATGTAATGAGCATGGAAATGGGATGAATTATTTTTCCCTAGAGTCTGCATCATTTGACATAAGGCACTTGCAGAGGGCAGAGGGGGACCTGGAGAATAGAGAGAAAAGCTGGAACTGGTGTCCCTCACTAATTTTCTGCAACTGCAAGAGAAGTATGGACTGGAAGAGAAAATCCAGTGCCTTTTGGAAATACTGTGTTGATGGGGGAGAAAGAGAAAATATTGTAAATGGGTCTGTTGTTGGAGGAATGGAACCTATTTTTATGTCACTAAAAGTCCTAAAAAACATTTGTTTTGAGTGTTGTGAGGTAAGATGAGAGTATACAGAATATTCAAATATGAAAATGCTATGTGCTCAGGTTCTGTAAATGTATATGAGATACCAAAGTCTGGTACAACAGCTCCCACTCCATTTGTGTGTAAAAGACATGTGTAGTTTCAATAAAAATTGAATGTGGAGAGGAGCATGACTTTGCTGGTTACATGCTCTCTTGTGAAATCCAAAATGATAGAATTGGACTGTGCCAAAATAAGTTGGTGTTCAGAGCTTTTGGGCTGTGGGAGAAAGGGTTGTGGGAGAAAGTTACAAGTGCTCCATACACTGTCTTCTGCTTTCTGAGCTCTTGACTTGCTGTTTCTTGTTCCTGGGAATGGGGTTTGCAGTCTAGGGAGCAAACAATATCTTTTTTCTGGAATTTTCTGGCTCAAGGGGAAATCTTTGGGGAGTCCTTTAGATTCAAAGATTAAATAGTCCAGAAACATAATTCTGGTGGGTGGTATCTGATACATCAAGGGCACTGCGCCCTCGGGTCGGGTGTCCTGGCTGCGTGGGCACAGGAGCGTGGGGTTCAGCCCCCTGAGCTGGGGCCAGCCAGGCCTGCCTGCAGCCGAGCACCAGCAGCTGGGTCTGAGCTGGCAGAGGTTCACACCTGATGGCATCTGTGCCCTTAGGGGTGTCAAGTCAGAAGTCTTCTCCGTGCTGCCCCTTTGTGCCTCCTTGAGACAGGCATAAGGGGCACAAGGCCCCTTCCTCTCCCACCACTGCTGGGTCTTGGGCAGAAATGAGGGCTCTGGTGGACGAGCTGGGTCTGGCTCTGTGCGTCTCACACTGTGGCCGTTACACTTAAAAAAGCTTGATGGGGGTGTGTGCGGGAGAGAAGCTGTGATGCATACCTTCAATAGATCATCTGTGTGCTCTGGGCTGAAGTCCCAGGCTGGTGCATGACTCCCATTATAGCCAGCAGGTCAGAGAAGGTGCTTCTGGAGGGGTTTGTCTCACAGTGAAGGATGTGTCTGCAATGGTCAGGTGAGCAGAAACCTGGCTGGTGGCTGCAAGAGGCTTTGAGGCTCTCATAGGTAGAGTCCCACCTTTTAACATCCAAAACGGCCTCTAGCTCCTGCTGTTCTTCTCATTCAAGCAGACGCGTGTCCTAGAAAAACCCATGATATGATCAGCAATAGCCACAAGTGAACAGTGTGCTCCGAGCCCTGCTCTCTGGTCATGAAACCGCCGTGGAGTGCAGTAGGTCAGTGACTATTCCCAGCCATTGCTGGGAAAGAAAAAGAGTGAGGTGAAGACAGGGCAATCAACAAGCTCTTACTATCTCTTGACAGCCTGAATGTGACGTTGCTGGACTGGTAAGATTTTTGCAGAAGATGAGGGTGCTGCATGCGTGGCAGCACACCAGGAGCTGCGGCCAGCCCCCGCCCGGCTGACACTGCGCTAATCCAATCCTGCCACATTTCTTGTCCTTGGCTTTGAACGTTGTTAACAGCAACTCTGGCCTCCCTGTCTATAGTGACCCAGCCTGCCAGAGGAGCACCTTCCTTCTAGCCCTTCCGAGGGGATGGTTATGGGGCTGGTTTTCCTCCTGGTGGAGCCCTTGAGTCGGCAAATAATGTTTCTGTCGCTATATTCTCTAGAGCTACTTCTGGGAGAGAAACTGTCACCGGAGGTGCTGATGTGTTAATATTACATGTAGCCGAGTATGTGTTTGCCAGGAGGATGCTTGTGTGACTGGGGACCGCTCTCTGCACTGTGCTCTGCAGAAATACACACGTGCATGCATAACCTTTATGTACGTGCATACTGAATGTACACATCTGGTACATGCACACTACACATACGCAAAAACAGAATTGAGAGGAGAAGCCTTTGAACGTCAGACTTTACTATCCCTCTCCCTGGAGCAGAAGGGTAAGATGGACATTATAATACTGCAATTAAGAGATGCTATTCCTGGTTTGCTGGCAGCTGCCTGCTCTGCTCCTCACTGCCTGGACATAGATGATGGCAGTGGCACAGCCAGAGGCTTCTCCCATCCCATCGTACATAATCTGGCTATAGGAACCAAGGCTGCCCAAGCCACAAGACTAGAGCTGTGTTCTGCTAAAAATCTTAAACTAAGGATATTTTCAGCTTAAAATACAAGTAAATCTCAAGAATGGTTGTGTTTGGCCAGTGTGAAGCCCATCTGTTTGCTTTGAAGAACAGTAACCTTGGTCTTTGGCTGGTTGAGTGTAGCTGTGTGGATGGGCTTGGGAATTCCCTGTTTCATTTTGACCCTTCTAATGAAATACAAGAGGATCTGTGAGTGACAGACATGAGATTTCTATGACAGGCAGCAGATGTCCCAGCTTCTTGTGGAGTTCTGCTAACTGGGGGCTCATGCACTGCAGATCCTGCTTCCCAAATCTACTTGAAGAGCTTACCTGAGAAAGGTCCTTCCCCCAGGACTGCTGTTGCTTTGCCTGCACCATTCATTACTGCATTGGCTCTAGCATGGCTTCTGGCAGGTTTGTGGGGACAAATCTGTATTATCAATCTTTTTTTTTTTTTTTTTTTTTTTTTTTTTTTTTTTTTTTTTTTTTTTTTTTTTGTAGTACATGGTTCGGTTAATCTTACTCTGGGAATGGCCCTGGGTAACTGCTGCAGCATCTCTAATAAGCTCGTAATACGAGGAGGAGAGCTGCCACAGAGAGCTGTGTGGACCAGCCTGGCATCAAGCGTGAGGTGTTGACTCCTGCCATGGGGACAGGCCACTTTTGGGCCTTGGTGCTGCCTGTTCCTTTAGTGAATGTCTCTCACTGCAGAGACAGGAGGAGGTCACCAGCCAGTGATGAAAAGAAATCAATAGACCGGTGAAAAGAAGGTATTCTGGATGCTTCCATGACTTCACCAGCACGGACCGCCTTTGGCTTCTGTCCTGGTGCCCAGGGAATGTCAGAAAAAATCTGTGCCAGGCACAGTGACTGCTTGCTATGTGATCTGCTCAATGCCTGTCCCTGCAAGCCCCTCCTAAACGTCATGTCACAACTCACGCTCAGTGGCTACACAGTGAAATAAAGCTGCTGGGACGCATTGAGCAGCTCTGCACAGTTACTTCTCTGCCTGCTCTGTGTGATGGCTGGTGTGGGGATGCCGTGACCTTTCAGCTGCGTCTCAGGCTGCAGTCCTGCCTCGCTTGGACTCGGCTCTCGCTAAGCCCTGCAGGGAGCCCTGTGCACAGAGCCAGCACCAGATGAAAGGTCTGCGGTGATGACAAACAGTGGCAGATACTGACAAGAACCATATTTGCTCACACCAGCCTCTGCTTGAAGCAGGCTGTGTGCTCATGTGGCTGATGTGGTTTTGGGGGGCTTTTTCCAAGCCTACCAAACAAGCTCCTGTCTCAGGTCATCCATTAAGTTACTCGTTTTAGTGAGGAAACTCACAAAATCTTACTGCAGGCTCTGGGTGAACATCAGGGTAGTTGGTGGGATTTTTTTTCTTGTCAGTTGACAGATCCAGGAGAAGTGTTAAGAACAAGTCTCAACATGCAAATAGTTTTTACTCATCTGATGAAAGCCTCTGGCACCGCATGCTAACTTGAACTTGAGAGCTGCAGGAAAAGTTTGGCTGCCCATCACTGTTTCTTAGCCTACGGACGTGGTTCAGTTGAGATTATACTCAGGTTGTTTTACGAGGAAATGCCAAGAATCCTTTCCACAGCCAGTAACCTTACAATGCAGGAGGTTGTTCAGGCTTTTCACCTGTGTCACAGCTGCAGGTCTGCTACCAGAAAGCCTGCCCAGGGCCCTTTGTGTGCTGATGATGGTCACCTTTGCTGGCCTCTGCCATGGGGAATCTTCAGAGTGGGATGGGCTGTTTTGTTGCTTACTCAGGCAGTTTTGAACAGTTAACTGAAGGCAGAGTCAGTTGGCACATCTGCCACCTCCTAGGAGACTAGGACCACGCAGGGAAGGGCTGGGGGCTCCTGAAGGCTGTGACATGCTTTGGGTAGGAAAGGTATGACAGGTAAAAGATGTGCTGGTGACAGTGGGAGTGACAGCTGGTTCACTCCTCATTGCTTAAATGGCAATGGCAAGTTGTCTGATTAAAATGAGCATCAAAATGATAAAAATGAGCATCATACAGAGACTCGTCACTCATGTCCTGCATTCTCTTTCCTGGTGGGTCCATCACCCTGACACTGGAGAACTGAACCTGATGGTGAACAGTGCAAATACTGACTAATAAATATTTAGTAATAGTCCTGAACAATAATACTAGTGCTACTATCTGCTCAATTGGAAGTCATGGCAGAAGCAGCTTTGGGGCCCTGGAAAATTACTAGTGCTGGGAAAATTTCCTGCCAGTGTTAAACACGAGGAGCCTGGAGCAGACCTGGAGGAGACCTGAGCCCTGAGAGTTTCAGCTCTACCATGGCTGCTGCCACTCTAAACTCGGCAGTGTCAGTAGTGAAAGATTGAGATTTCTCTGCTCTGAGCCACAGACCCCCTTGATGAGAGACCCTCATTCCCCAAAGCAGGGCCAGTGCATGCAGGCAAGGCCAGGAGGATGCAGAAGTCTCTTAGATCCTGTTCCTCAGATCATTTACAGCTTTGGAAAAAATACAAATTCTCTACTGAACTGTTTCATTACTAGGTCTCTAGCATTTAAAAGCATTTCTGTGAGACTTTACTAGTTTATTTGCTACTGGGCTAACTTTTTCTGAGCACAGACTTGCTTTGAAGTGTCCTGTTCCTCATGGCATGGAGCAGGACTTGGGGTCTCCCCTGGGAGAGTGGCTGCTGCAGTGCAGATTCTCCAGACCAGTGCTGGGCCCAGCAACATCTCAGCCACCTTTCAATGCATGGAAACTCCCCCAAGCCCTGCATCCCTCTTGGATATCTCAGCTCTGCATGTAGGAGGAAATATGGGTTGCTAGGGCTGTGGGGGACAGTGGGCTTTAAAAGAGGCTCCAGGAAAGCAGGGGAGTTTCTTTGAAATATATCTCAGCTGATGAGTTCCTTCTGTCTAGCTAGGTATGGAGAAGAGTTTCTATTAATGAATTTAAGCCAGGTTAGTGAGTAAATGCTATTCAGATCTTGGCTGAAGGGTCCTAGGTCAGCATGGCATGACAAAACCCATGGTGCAAGGGAGTACTGGTTTAGAGCTATAATATCAAGCATTTCTGCC